AGCTGGGGTACCACCTTCCCTGCTCCACGGGGTGACCTACTGGCCACTCACCTGCCTGTGGCCACAGCCCTGGACCCATGTGCCCTTTCCTCTCAGAATCATGAATGTTCTCACCTAAGGGCATAGCTGAAGTAGTTGATTTTCTCGGGGGGCAGGACGGTGCCTGTGTGGGTGAGTCTGGGCTACCTCCGCCCCCTGAGGAGTGGAGCTTCCCACTGGGAGGCCTGTGATCAGGGGCATCCCAGGATGGAGAGCTCAGCCCTTCTTGGAGGTCGCCTCGGACAGGGACCTGTGACTCCACCACCCCACCGCCCCACCACCCTACCACCCCGCGCCACTCACAGTGATGGAAGACAGCTTTGGCTGCCGAGGCCATGAGGCCCCATGCAGGGTAGTTATGATGTCACACAGGTCAGGGTGTGATGCCACAAGCAATGAATGACGTCACATGGAGCCACAGTGGTGACCGGAGATGGTGTGATGTCACAGAGAGGTGAGGAGAGGAAACCCAGCAGGATGAGATGAGCGATGACATCTACAGAGCCCAACCCCCTCTGTCGTCCCCCCAGAATGAGGGGTTCCAGTGAGCTGGCTCCTGGCTGCAGTGGCCTGAGGGCAAGGCCTGGCCCTCACACCCAGTACTCACCCTCTGCCCCGCCGCCCGTGGGCTGGGGCCCCCAGAAGCTCCACTCCAGCAGGAACCTGCAGACACAGGCCTGAATCTTGAGAGCTGCCTGCCTCCCGGCTGGCCCGAGTGAGGGCACCGTGCCCCCGAGACCCCTGGAGCAGCCTCTCGCCTCCCTGCTTCTGGAGGCTGCTGGTGGGCAGGGAGCCCCACGGACCCCACCCGCCCCCCGGAGACAGCGAGCCTGGTGACCTGCCCCACCCCGGGCTCTCACTCTCCTCTGGGGCGGCCAGAGTGCTCACTCAGCTCCCTCTGAGCCACCCTGCACGAAGCACCCCGGCCTGCCCTCGGCACCCAGCCCCAACCCACACTCACAGCAGGAGCTCGTTCACCAGCCACCTGGCAGCCGACAGGAGGGCAGAGAGAGGCTGGAAAGAGAGACCCCGGGCGCTGGTGGGGCTCCCAGAGCGGGCGCTGTGCCCACGTCCACCCGTCCCGGGGGGCAGTCAGACCCGGGGCTTGGACCAGGCCCGTCAAGGGGGGGTCAGGTTGGGATCCTGAGGAGTGGCTGGGGGACGGTTCTAGGGATACCAGTGACTTGTGTGCCAGCACAGGGAGCGGGGTTGGAGCAGAGCCAGCCAAGGGCCACACTGCCAGAGGCCCCCTTATTCCATGGGCTTCCAGAACCATGTCCCTGAAGCCACAGAGGAGACCCGCAGGCCTGGGGCGGGAGTGCAGGGAGCAGAGGGCAGACATTGGCAGTCCAGTCAAGCATGGCCCAGGGGACCTCGTCTTAGGCCAGGCAGAGGGCGCGGCTGGGCCACACTCACGCTGACCAGGGGCGGCGCGGCGCTGTGGTGGGGGTGCGAGGGTTTGCACATGGCCTGGTAGTCATACAGGGTCACCCTGAAAACCAGAAGCAGGAGATGGCAGTCCAGCCCACCCCCCACCCCCCCCCCTCCAGGGTGCACCCCGTGTGGAGCTGGGACCGCAAGTGGGGGCTGGCAGGGAGGAAATGGCCTTTTGGCACCTTGCTGCTGATAAGATGGTCGACAAATTGGTGTCCCCTCTAAGGGGTCCCACAGCTTGATGCCTCCCCAACTCACATCAAGTCCCTCCCTCAGAAAGGCTGCTTTGGGGAGCTCTTACTTATGTGTGCTTCCGTTGCGGCGTTTCGACACACAACATTGCATTCACTCAGGTATGCACACGATGATGCGGCGTCGGTCTACCCTGACACTGGTGCCCATAAATCTAGAAGGTGGATGCTTACTTCCTTTTCTCTTGTGGTGAGACTTTCATTAAGATTTTGACTTCTGGGCCCTCCCTGGTGGCGCAGCGGGTTGAAGCACTGCACTAAGAGGCTGAAACCACTTCCGCATGAGTTCGATCCCCGCCTGCCCCGGAGGTGACCACAGGGCGCGGCAGACCTCTCCTGAC